AGAGAGAGAGAGAGAGAGAGAGAGAGAGAGAGAGAGAGAGAGAGAGATGGACTCTCCTGTCCTTATCAAAGGAGGCCTTATCTTTACTCCTCTGGCTGCCGGGTCAGCTCCGAACATGCGATGTAGATGAAAGTTTAGGGAACAAGCGAGCTACCACGAGCAACCACAATAGATTTGCACAATCAAATGACCTGTGCTTGGCCTTAAAATGACAGGACTGGGGGTTATAACTCTAAACCTTTTCTGCTTCCAGAGGGAGTTCGGCGTCGACTGCACCCTGAAGGAGCGGATCGAGGAGAACGGCTACAACACGTATGCGTCGGCCGAGTGGAGGAACAAGAAGCGGCAGATGTTCATGGGCCTGAACGTCCACGGGAAGCCGCTGAGGGGGAAGAAAACGCGCAGGAAGAATACGGCCACCCACTTCCTCCCGATTATGGCGTGAAACTTTGAGGACTCCGACTGTAGGAGGAGGAGGAAGAGGAAGAGGAAGAGGAAGAGGAGAAGGAGGAGGAGGACATGCAGCACTGGACAGAGAGACTTTTCGATACTGGAAGAAGAAAAAAAGCTGTTAAATAAAAAGACATTCGCTGAGAAATCTCTCGTTTGGAAACAAGGCACTAACACTGTTACACGGAAAAAGAAAAACAATGACGGTCTCTGCTGCTGGTTGAGACTTTATTTTGGTGGGAGATAATGATATCTGTGTTTTCTGTGGCACGGGGATGCAATATTTATCCTTTTTTTTTTCCTGTGCCAAACAGTTTGCAACTGGAGTATATATGTGTGTGACGTGGACGACGCAGAGGATCCTGTCCTGGCTCACGTACTGTGCTAGAAATGCAGGAGATGTTATTTATAGTCCGCATTCTCCCCGTGAGACCCTAGATAATCTGCAACAGAGATAGGAAACTTTGATTAAAACGATCGGTCGGTCTGTCACGACAGCATTAATTAAACACTAACGGACGCGACATATTTAAAGCAAATGTTTGATACTTAACCACTGCGTTTTGACTGTATTGTAATGATTAATTTATTTTTGTGAAATATTTAACTGGCGGGGAACACTTACAAGGCAAGCATTCCTTTTGCATTCTCTTACTTTTTATAGGAACTCTGTCACGTGGAAATAAAATACCGTTTTCTCCTCCGCCACGCGCTCGTCTCACTTCCTCTAAAACAGACATACAACAGAATACTGAATTCACTGAAGGAGAAAGTTCTTCTCACAAGCAGTGGGGAAACGCTGGCGAACGATCAGGTCACAGCGCGTCTTATCTCTGCAGTAGGACGGGACGAAAAGGCAACTAGCCAGATATTCCATGTGGCAACCATTGCACTAATGATTAGTTCCCAAACACGCAGACCTACCGCAACAAAATGGGAGGGAGGAAACTTCCGTGGTATGGCCTACAGTAGATGCTGACATAATTTCCGAATATCAGCCCATTACAGCAGCAGCAGCAAAGATGCTGATAGCACAAGCAAATTCAGTCATGTTGGTCTGCATCACTGCTGCCAAATAGGTTTCCAGAGGGCCTTTTAAAGGGGAGTATCTGAGTGTGTGTGTGTGTGTGTGTGTGAGTGTGGAGGCATAAAATGTGAATGAGCGATATGACCTGTGTCTGACCACCCACTTCCCCTTAGTAATCATCTGCAAACACACTAATCAATGACAGCTGCCTCGATGCCAGATCAAAAGAGACGCGGGGAGAACATTAACACCACAGGCTTCCTTCCGGGCCTCATGTTCTCCTCTATAACCCCGCCCCTCTGAACTTCGCGTTACGCGGCAGAGACGAGGAAAAAGTTGGGGGGAGAGCCGGCGGGAGACGGGGGGAGGTCGAGAGACAATTCCCAAATGCAACCAAGTCGGCCACCAGCGACTCCAGGTGGGAAACGAGAAAAAGCGTCCGCGTGAACAGCGGGAGTCCAGAAAGCGTGGTGCTGCTCTTTAACGGCCGCTCAAGGAATCACCGCGACGAATGACTAACGCGGAGGAATGCCGCAGTGCATTCCCTCATGACAGTCAGGGCTAGTGGCAACATATGGAATAATATTTCATGACCGCCTCTCTCTGCGCCCGTGCACAGCACTGTCCGCTGCATTTGCAATGTGGCGGGGCTGCTTGCACCGATGCTCTGAGGCCACATACAGCGTCCTGAGGATAAACCATAGCTTTTGGACTAAAATGTGTTTAGATTTTTAGTTTTTCCTGTACTTATATTTCTAAACTAAAAGGGAGAAAACAAGTATAGTATAGTATAAAATATATATATATACCACTGTGTTTTCCTAGATTTGTTTATAACAGTTAAAAAGATTACCAGGAAACCTGAAATTTTTTGGGAGGCATTTAAAACCGTTGCTGATGAGCATGCACATGACCCCCCCCCCCCCCCCCCCCCCCCATCTCCTCTTAACACCAATCATTTGTCACCTTGTGCTGACATTTGTGAATGTTTGAACTCCCTTTCAAGACACTGGCATGGGGGGGGCAGTAACCTCGAATAGGGGCAGTAATCAGAGTGGGTTCTACGCATTTCTGGCAAAAGGAATTCTCCGTGGCATAATGTGAGCCAGCTTTGGGAAACAAGTGGAAAATGACTGGAGGCTGAAAGAACTAATGAATACTTAGACTGAGAGCTCTGGTGCAACACATGTTTTATAGTGGGCAGCTACTGAGAGCGCGCGGGGAGAGACGGGCACTTCTAAAGGGGTCGCACAGGTCCAGAATCTTAAATATGTCATAGCATATTTTAGATCAGTATTATGTCTTATAACCACTGCCTAAACCCACAGATGGGGGCAGTAGCTAACATTGCAGACACTCAAGTCATGTAGTCTGTATTATTTTTCTGGAAATGTTCACACCCTAAGCAGGAGTTCCATAAAATCAAACTATTCGGCATAGTTATTATTTGTTTTTTTTAAAGGCAAACAATTGTTTTCAATAAATGTGAGAATAACAAACCTCTTGAAATCAAGAGGTTTGTTATTTCTCCACCAAAATTCCTGGCAGTGTGAAATTTAAAAAAAAAACAGCATTAAGAGAGATCATGTAGCATATAAAATGTTTCAATACAACTTGAACAAGTGAATTAATAAAAATAATGTGATCAGATTTGATTTACAGATGTTCAAGGGGGCTTGGGGAAATGAAATCACAATCTCAGTATCTTTTCTAAAATCCCCCCCACAGCGGTTATATTGAATGATGGTCAGGAACCAGATCTTTACAAAAAATACCTAAATTACTTGAGTATTCCCATTTTATGCTACTTTATACTTCCACTACAATTCAGGTAGAAATGTTATAATTTTCATTCTACTGCATCCTGAATGAAATCATCTTATAAACTACTTCCTACAACAATTAAATGCGTACTTACATGTAAGTGATACAATAATAATAAAACATTAACATGGGGATTTTTTTCTTGATGATCAGTGCTTTAATTGTAATCTTTCTAGTAATACTTCTGTACTTTTAGGGACAGTACGAAAATTATTAGGGTGGAGAGGGGAGGCCGAATCCTATATTTCTCTCTTCATAAAATTAAAAATATAATAATAATACAATTCTAAAAAGCAAAACCATAGTCAGTGTTGATTTTATTGGACACTTATTTCTCTAAAGGGAAGAATTGATCTGGGAGGAGAAAAAAAAAAAAAGACCCTCATCAGAAAAAGAAGAAAACAGTAAGAAGAAGAAAAACAATAATTTGTGTACAGTATTCAAGTAAAGTTATAAATGTAGGACTTTTAAGTATAAAGTAATATGTATGCAAATGTAATTGTGATATTTAGGCATTTTCTTACCACCACTGATAATACCTTCAGTCTGCACCATGCACCGTTTATAGCTTAGTTTCCACTCCACGCCACTAGAGGGAGACAGTTTAATTTTGATATCCCACATTGTCGCGGATAATCAGCTACAGCGAGTTTGTTGTTAAAGGAAATAGCCAAAGAGAAGTTGTGTATATACTGTGGCACTTGCCGTTAGAGAAAAAAAGCCATCATGAAAGAGAGATAGGGCGTGCTTTGTTGTGATAAAACACAAGCAACGGCTGCTACGCAAAACAAAAAAGCAGTGAACAACATTTCTCCATCTTTCTTTCTGATGCTGCTTTGAGAGTGAAGCGAGCAGTCATGGACGAGAGTTTTGACCGAGCTCCCGGAGCGGGAAGAACCCGAAATGTCCTCGCGGACCCCAATAACACCGCTGGTGGTGACACCAAAGGCACGCTGTTCAACCAAAGGGAGCCGCTGAGGCAGCCGCGAACTTCCCCGCCTTTTGGCGAGAGCAACATTAGCACGGCTGGCGTCATGGCTGGTGGAAGTAAGGAGCCGTCAACTAGCTAGCTAACGACACCCGAGCTAACTGCTAATTTACTAGCTAACGCTACTTTCAGATTCGATTTCATTTCACGTTAAATGTCACGCGTTGACACGGTCACTTACGGCCCAAACTGTGTTTGGCTAAATTGAATAGTCGTCACACAGTTCCTCCTGACACTTCTTCTGCGAAGTGTCGGGGTGATATGTTACTCGTTTAAACTGTTCTAAATATTTAATTAGCTTGCTAGCTGCTAAATACCATTAATGTTAGCTAGCTTTAGCATGTTGGCGTTGCGACAGGCACCTGTTGGTGTTGTTGTTTCATGTGAGGCAACGCAGCTTCTAAATAAAGCTGCCGCTCAGATGTCACATAGTTGGTTAGTTACGTGCGTCACTTAAAGCTGTCTAATACCCAGCTACAACTTTAGAGAGCTAACGTTGGCTATAGCTAACCTAACGATATGGACGTAGAGCAAAGTAGAATAATTAGTTTCCCTTCTGTTATTGTGGCTGGCGCTAAGAAATAAGGAAGTAAAGTGAGATGGCGTAGAAGTTAAAACAATACCATATTCTGTGCGTACCATTTGTAAAACGCTTTATCAGAACGAGTCTGATGTTTTGACAATTGGAGGCCCTATTGTGATATTTTTCTAAAGGACTATGTCTCTGCATGGTCGTGGTCAAAACCACGTGATTGCATAGGCAGATTAGAAATGCACAACCTGTGTTAAACTGCATACTTCTGGTGTCAACCAAAACGTTTTGGTATTTCCCTCTGAAAAAACAACACCATATCACTCCATCACCACAGTCCATGGCCAGCAAGATCCACTACTAATTTATGTGATGACTGCCAACCAACCACAGATATTGCACCACTAGGTTTATGTGCAACTACGTACTGTGTATTATTCTGTATTGTATTGCGTCTTTGCACTCTACTAATATCAGCTTTACTTTAAAAGCACTGCAGGACAGTGCTGTATTGTATTTTGTTCAGTTTGTTGTGGCTCTATGCCACGGGCAGACAATATCTTTGATTTCCTGCCAGCCTTTTCTTAGGGAGAATTGGCCCATGTTGGATGAATGCCTTTCATCTTTTTTTTTGGTTCAGGTTTTAAAAGACAGAGCAAACCCCAACAAAGTGCAAACGCCAACATTACGTCTGCCTCCAGAGGTTTTAACGAAGTGGACTCTGTGGTCAAGTCATCTAAGCTTTCTGCCAGTGCCCCAGAGTTTGTCCCCTCTTCAGTCAACCCGTACGAAGTAAGAAGAATTTACAGAAGCCATTTTTAAACATTATATTGTAATGGTTCTCTTCACTTCTGATGTTAGTTTCCAAGGAGAATTTAGGAAATGTGTCGGTAGCGCATTCCATCATTACTGTTAAAAATACAATTTAAATGCTAAACTATTTTGTATTAGAAAGAGGAAGTGGCTCTGGGTTTTCTATTTAGTTATTTGTGTATTTATTTAAAAAAAATTTTAATAGGACCCCTCGTTTTATGACGACGACGAAAGCTATTACGGTGAACCGACCTTGGCTGAAACGGTCGCGGACTTCCTTGGCCACCTGAGCTCCTCACCGGGGTCCTTTGAGTTGGATGTGGAACAGATAACTGGCATGCTCAACTCCTGGGTTACCACTGAAGAACTGCTGAAGGAGCTGGTGGAACTGATCTACACACAGGTTCGGGGAAAAGCGTTCAGTCATCATTTAGCTATTTGTGTATCTGCAACAGTATGATTTTAAACCAAACCTTTCCAAACATGACATGCACGTTAAATATGAAGATGCATGTTTCTGATAAAACACACAACTTTCATTGCAGTCTACTGCCATTCCTAACTTTGCTTACACTGGCGCCAGGCTGTGTAACTACCTGTCCCATCATCTCCATGTCAGCCCGCCAAGTGGCAACTTCCGCCAGCTGCTCCTGAAAAGGTGATTTATTCCGGTCTGGTTTAAATTGATGTTTTTAGGGGCACGACCATGAATCCCCTCTGCTTTTCATGAAACACAATTTTCCTATAATTAGATTGTTCAAAAAGGTTAAAAGCAGTAGAAAATGCTGGTATCACACGAGCAGTAGTAGAAATATGTTTTAAGCTCCATTAAAGAAGATTACTGTGGTCTGCCGTAGATGTCAAACAGAATTTCAACAGAGGGATGCAGCGGTTGGAGGAGACCCGGAGACTCAGAAGAAATTCCACTCCTATGTGCTCTTTCTGGGAGAGCTCTACCTAAACCTGGAGGTAAGCTGTTCTCTTTGAGGCCGCGTTATGTTATCATTCATACGGTTATAAAAAAAAAAAAGCAGTTATCTAATCAATTTGTCAGATTTTACATGGCGCTATATTGACTTCTGTTGTGGGGGGGGGGGGGCTACATGCTGCCCTGGTGGCACTGAGGGAAACATTTCGCTGGGTTTTTGCTTGCTAGTTCGGCTGACAGCAGGCGTGCAGTTGTGGTGTCTATGTTGTGAATTCCTGGGTATTATATGTTCATCTGCAATTTTCTCTTAAAGTGTAGGGAAGTAGCACATAACATGAAGTGGTTAAGCTATGTTTGAGTCAATAATTGACGACTGTTGCTGTAAAAGCCTTCAGAGGACGTAGTTGAGGACTTTTCGCTTCTATTCATTTTGAAAGAGCGACGGCAATCAGGGAAACTTCATCACTCAGTAAGTCAAGGACAGATGTTGGTGTTTATAGAGGTGTCCCCGCTTCAGTCCAGCCCCTTAAAAGACAAAACAAACCAAACTATATACACCTTCGAGAATTGCTGCCTTCCTTTAGGACAGGCCATACCTGCAAACTTGTCACTTTTCGGTGAAATTCACCGTTTTGAATCAAAAATATATCATCCACGTGAATCGTGTAGATCCGTAGAGTTTTTTTTCGGGGGGGGTCAACTGGCCAGCCAGCGTTTCTCAGATTGGAGTGAGACGAGGAGAAAATGTGATGTTGTGATCTTCGCAATAGAACATCTTTGACGTGTCGAGTCTTGGCCAATAAGCGTTCAGATGTGTACACCGTCTTTCCCTCCGTTAAAGTTTAAGTTACGTTATGTCCCGTCACCGTTCAGACTTGCTGGGTTAAGTTAACATCCACTGCATGGGGAACTTTGTCGACTATTAACGTTCATCATTATCATGATTTAGGAGGAAAAAACGTAACGTGATGAAACATGCATTTTTCTCTTGATAAGTTACCTTAGCCAGAGTAGATTATCATTTTCATTTAAATAATTGAACTGGATTGAATGCATATTAATTGCAAATATAAGATAGGCCACAATTCTAACAGCTTTACAGTAACAGTGGAATTTAATATGAAGCCATACAGTAACAGGGTTCAATGAAAACTTTGCACTACAAAAGGGAAAGCAACATGTGCACTAGCTGGATGCTACTACCTACTAAAGCTCTTATTGATGTGTCAGTGTTATGAATGCCTGTCAACCAGAGTATATTTATAAATGTTTATTCTTTTAATCAAACTATTGTCTCTCATTCATGTGTCATTTAAGGTATACTGCATGCTTTGGAATTCTCATTGTTAGTTTAAATACTACATTTTCTCACTTTTTCATGTATACACCAAGATTTCACAAAATGTTTGGTCATGGAAATTTGGTTTAAAGTCATGGAAAAGTCATGGAAATCCATTGGTCAAAATGTGTATGAACCCTGGTTTAGGTATCTCATCATTTCGACTTTCTATCTCATAACTTCGACTTCCTATCTCATAACTTCGACTTTCTATCACAGAATTATGACTTTCTATCATAATTTTGACTTTCTGTCTCATAACTTCGACTTTCTATCTCATACTTTCGACTATGGGGATATTTTTATTATCAAGTCTAACTTTTATTTATTTAATTTTTTTAAACTTTTTTTTTTTTTGCTGGCAGGGCCACATAAAATAACGTGGCGGGTCGGATTTGGCCCGCGGGCCTTGAGTTTGAGACCCCTGCTTTAGGATGTCTGGTGCTGTTGCAACACCAGAATACTACTCGGCGCGCCTTTAACCTTCTCATATGATTTTTTTGATATTTATGCCATTTTGTTTTTAGGTAAAGAGCGTAAAAGGACCTCCAAACCGAGCAGATATCCTCCTCATTGCTCTGAAAGACCTGATGCACAGTCTGTTCTCCAAGCCTGTGGATGCAAATCTCATCTGCGCCGTCAAGCTGCTCAAGGTTTCAAATCTCAAGTCGATCATTTTACAGACTTGTGGGTAAGCTCCACTTTTCAGGCAGGTAATGAGAATGCGTTTTTAATTCCCAGCTGACGGGCTCCATCTTGGATGACGCGTGGAAAGACGGGGGAAAACCACACATGGAGGAACTGATCCAAAGAATAGAAACTATTCTACTGGATGCCACCTGCAGCCGGTGTGTATATAATGTGCTCTTTAGTGTGCAGCGGCTACTAAAGGCTTATGCTAAAGGTAACTTTAGGTTTGAAACATGCTTTTGCAGCCGAGATGCTGCAAATGCGTCCAGTGTTGAAGACAATCATACATCAAAAAACTTTGGAAGAACAGATATTCTTTGACAAAAACAATCAAGTATATACTGTTGTTACATTTGAGAGATGAAACCAATGTGTACTGTAGCGTTTTAGCTTTTCAACACACACACATGGAACTTGTATCTTCATTCAAAAGTCTGCCATAAACTGTCCGAAGTGCCCAAAAGCCAAACGGTTCAGAGTTGAACCCTCATCGACAGCCTGGCTGAGACTTCTTGATGTGGGCGTTTTTGTCATCAGGGATGTGAGACAGATGCTTCTGAAACTGGTGGAGTTGAGATCGAGCGACTGGGGCAGAGTCCGTGCCGCTGCAGCGGCCAGCAACGCCACGCCAGACAACGACCCCAACTACTTCATGGTGAGTGTCGACCATACTGTAATACAATTCTACATTTCTTCTTTTTTTTTCACCCCCGCCCTCTACGTTACCTGGTGTTCATGGAATTCGTTTTTTTCTTCTTCTCAGAATGAACCGACATTCTACACAGAAGATGGGACTCCTTTTACAGCAGCAGACCCCGGTGAGTCTTCCGTGTTATCAAGCGTGGACGTGCAAGATTATCGTGGTGTCGGTAATACATGTAAAAAAAAATCCACACCGGATTAATGTGAAGTCCTGTCTGTTTAGTTTATGCGCACACATGCGCAAGAGGAATGGCTTCCTCTTGCAATAGCTTCTCATATCTAACTGTGTTATTACAAGTAACTATATGAAACGATGCTTTTGTACATAAAGTAATGAATCTGTTTCATAAATGGAACTCTAAGCCGTTCCCCTTGATATTAGACAGTTTTCTGAGAATGAATGAATAGATGATGGTGTTGATACAAATGGACTTCTCATTTGTTTATGACGCGTTATTGTTGCTGATGGTAGAAATAGATTATGCAGCATGAAGCAAGTAAACAGTGTTTTTCTTAAATGCATTAATATGTTTATTACACAACTATTTCTTGTAAACATAAGTAAAGGGTGCCGGTAAAGAAATGGGGGAGAATGCTGTCATTAGTCCTGGACGTTTCCACATTAACACTCTACATTATCATTTTAGATACAAATAATTGTTATAAATTCACATCTTGGCTTGACTCACCCTTCGCTACTCTCCTCAGGCAACTGAATAAGTCCTTTAGATTGTCAGAGAAAGCAGTCCTCTCCTCCTTTAAATGAGAAAAGAAACATCATCGTGTTGCTTTTTTCAGATTATGCTGAGAAGTACCAAGAGATCCTGGACCGGCAGGACTACTTCAACGATCTCGATGGCGAAAATGGAGATGAAAGTGAATTGTAAGTACATATAATGGGGTTGACACCACATAGAAGGGTCATGTGTGTCTTTTACATTTTTCATTCGGTCACAGCCACCCACTTTACTAGGCACTTGTTGATGCTTGCTGCTTATACTGCACTTTAAAGATGATATTATCTGATATTGCAGTAGTTCTGTGGGTTACTATTCACCTCTGGTCATGTGACTGCATAGCAACTTCACCTGTGGGCCCATGCGTTTGAGCGGCCCCCAATGCAACAGATTCAGTCGTCAGCAGTTGGGCGTGAAGGGGGCTTAGCTCGCTCCTGTCCTCTGTCTCTCAGACCTGTGTGTGTGTGTGTGTGTGTGTGTGTGTGTGTCTGTGAGATCGTCAACTACGTACCCATGTTGTAGGTTGTGTTAATATTAGCACATTGGTCTCAAAGGTCTACAAAAAATAACTTGCTCTGCTGTGTTCACAGATACGACTCCGAAGACGAGATGGAGCCCGAGATGGAAGAAGCCTTTGAGAGTTTTTGTTTAGAAACGGAGAGGAAACGGCAACAATGACGCCAAGAGTGAGAATCTGTCACACCCGACGGGTGCATTCTGTACTTTTCCCACTCAACTTGCTGGAATGTTGAAAAAGCAAAGGAAGCTAGCATCCGATAGGTTCAAACTGTCATTTTAACAAGCATTTTTAACGGAAAAGAGATGTTTTTTTCTCAGTCAGCGTGGATTAGGGAATGGGGACAATCAGCAGGTTGAATTGTTCAAAATATTCAAGGTATTAATGAATTTATTTTTTCTGACATGAAAGTTCTGTTTGTTTTTAATTATTTCAGAAACATATTTCTTTAACGCCTAAACTAAATGCCAAGAGGGAAATAGTGTGCTGTGTTTTTTATTGTGGGATCTTTTCTGAAAGGCAGATTCATCAAACGTGTGCATAATTTGTGAAATACTAAAGAATGCCCCTCACGTAAAGTACAGGTCAAAAAACTCAAGTCATTGTCAGGGACGCTTCATCTTCATGTAAAATGCACTGTAGAGGGGAGGTTGCTTTATTACACATACGATGCATATACAGCCTTCATCTACACTGATGAGGTAATGGTGTCTCGTGTCAGATTGCCAATATTTATCACTATATTCAAGGCTATTCACATGGTAATCTGGCTGCAGTTCATTTAGGTGGTCAGGAACTCTGCGAAGAGCTGCTCGGTTTGGAAAATTATTTGAAAAAGAAATACTTAAGTTTAGTCACAAACTGGGAAGGGAATATGGATAACACTTTTTTATATATATATATATATATATATATATATATATATATATACACACACACACATATACATATACATATACATATACACACACACATATACATATACATATACATATACATACATATATACACACACACACACACACACACACACACATCTTTATGGGGCTAAAGTCAACATTTAAAAAAGTATTCAATAAAATGTCCAAAATTCAGAGAATTGGCATAACGGATCCACAGTTATCCTGAGACTGAAAGACTGTTTACTAGCAATCCATGAAGCCCATACAAAGGAATGTTGTTTAATAGTTTGTAAATATTATTTATGGTATTATTTGCCTGCAATAAATTCTTTATAATGTGAGATTTTATTTGCCCGATTTGTCTTCGAGCCTTCCGGAGGTTGAAGGGGATGTAAGCCGAGGTCCATTCTGACATTGGAACGGCCAGAGATTTAAATGTGAAGCGATCACAGGCAGAGAGTTACACTGAGTTAGTTTATTAGGTACGTCAGAACAACTTCATACATTAGAATAGTCATTCTAACTTTTGTTAGACTTCTAATGGTCTTCTGTTTTGACACCATCAGTTTTCTGTCAATGAAAGAAGACCATAAAGTATTGAATCAAACCCAAACTTACTGTTTACTCTTTAATCTAATATAGTGTTTGTGCCGTTACCTGCTGTAAAAAAAAAAAAAAAAAGTTCAAGCTACAGAATGAGAGGCTGTGGAAAGATCTCAATTGATATAAATTAAATAAAGTTTTCTAAAAAAAAAAAAAAGAGATGTCAAAGTGAGCGCATTATTCTAAAGCCTTTGCCTCCACCTGATGGTCAGGTTGTGTAATATTTATTTTGCTAATCACATTTGTATTATTTTTTCACAATAACGTAATTTTGTTAAAGGCATGAGCTTTGTAAAATAGTTAACAGAACATAACTAAAAAAATAAAACGAATAAAAACCAAATGACAGAAGATGAAATAAAATAAAGGAGAAATACAATTTTTTATTAATAAATGATTTAACTCTTGGTACTGAGCAAAAATCTTAATAACTGACTTTAAAATGAGCATTTCTTTACTCATTGTGATGTTGCTATTTAAGTAAAGGGTTAATCTATTTACAGTCACATCATGCAGGTCAGCTGCAGCAAGAGAACAAGATGGTGAGAGTCCAAACATTCAAGATGAAGACCTTCTAGTCAAAAAAAAGGTAAACAAAGAGGACGGCTTACGTGTGTTCAGCCTGTCATATTAAATTTACTCAGAAACATTAAGGGTTAAAAATGGAACATGAAATCAGAATGTTTATTTATTTATTCATCAAATATTAGATTTTGTCATTGAAGCTGTTTTGACAAAAACGAGTAAATAGATGATATGAAGTTACCTCTCATTCATCTTGTGAGGAAAGAGCCTGGCAGACTTTCAAATCAGGGAGTTCAAAGTATAAAATAAATACACACAATTATATATCATATTTTTTGTTGTTTTCTTGGTAACGTGATATGTTGCAGCAAAGTGCTGTCCCGTTCCTATTTACACCATTTCAAGCCCTCAAAGTCTCTCACACTCACCCACTTACCAGGTGACGTCAGTAAGTCCTTGAGGGTTCAGGGTTTGAGGCTTTAGGGGGGACATTGGGATTGGGCCAAGAGCTTTGGGACGGCCGTCAATATGGCGGCGCAGAACAACTTCCGGTTCAAGCGAGGAGCGAGGAAATGACTTGGGATTTAATGTAGCGTCTAAGTCGCCATGGCGCAAAATTGTCAAGTGTTGCTTAGAACGGCCTTGAAAAATTCTTAGCGGTTGCCTGAACTCAGAGGAATCTGTCAAACAGACATACCATGACATTGCCTTACCCTCCAACGCACCACAGCTATTTTCCTCGCTACAATGAAATAGCTATTTACTGCGGGTTTGCACTTCCCAAGTACAGTACACTGAGGCACCCAGTGATTTAAGCTGCGTAACATAATAACCTCATTAACACGGGATCCAGCCTCGCTTGGGACCCTTTTTTGTCGTTGTGTGTCACCCCCTCTCACACCGGGTGTCAAAAACCAAAGTCTCAAAGCTAGGTGGCATACTTTAGTGTGGTTGTCCCGTCATATTGTATGTGAGATATCATGTTTTTTAGCATACTGTTTCACTCTACTTTCATTTTTCAACGCGTAAATTGTTAGCATCTGCCAGTTGCTCCTACTGTAGACCAGTTTTTTATTCAACACTCCCACAAGTCTGTCTCCAATTTATTGCCAACAAGCCTACTTATCTAGACCAAGGACTGATGTCTGCGTACTGTTTTACCGTAAATGTGTTACACTGCAGCCTCTCTTCTCATTATCTAGGAGGACAGAAATGATTTGCGCGTGAGAGTGAGTGTGTGTCGTCCATAAAGGATGTTGAGGAAGCACACAGCACAGGGCTGATATCTTAATCTGCAAACCACTGGCTGCCTGCTCATGACTTGCGTAAAAAATAAAGCATCGTCATGCTCCAATTTTTCTGCTTCTCTTGGGGATTGTTGGAAATGCACATACAAATCTAACACCTTTTTTTGGAGGGGTGGGGGGTTGAGGGGTCATGTGACAGGATGGTATAGCTTCACCCACAAGTCACGTTACCACCGTGTCTGTGCAGTCAGTGACTCGTGAGCCCCCTCTTATCCCGCTGGTCTGGCTCACAATGCAACAGGGAAAACCAGGGGCCTTAGATTCCCATTGGTCAGCAGATGGGTGCTAGAGAGGGATTAGCTCCGCGCTACAGTCTAGTGACCCAGGCCTCTGTGTGTGTGTGTGTGTGTTTCTGTACCTGCATCTCTGGATATATTGCATAGTGTGGCTTTAAACCACACATGAATTGATAAGACAAAAGCAGTAAAGCAGCAATGTTTTTCTACCTGCGAGCATAATTGTATGAAAGCTTGAGGGACAAAAAAAAAGTCTGTGACTCTAAATCACCGTCAAATGATTTAATGTTGTTGAGATGAAGTCCAAGGCTGAGGTTTGACAATGTTTCCCTTTAATCAGAGAGCTGCTGAGGATCTAGTACAGTTCTGCAATGATAAACACCTTGTTGAATGTCATTTTCCAAAGAAATCAAGTCCAAACCTGGAGAAAAACTACTCAAGATTTATAATGTTGTACAGTAAAAAAAAAAAAGATTCACGGTCGTCGTCCTCTGTGGGGAGTTTTAATGACACACTGCTCCATTACGTCACTGACCCGACAGGAAACATAGAGCACAGACTTTGCTCCTTTAAGAGCCGTCCTTAGATTGTGCAAGATGATTCAACAGAGTGAGCTGCCTGAAACTCTGAGGGAAAGAATGTGTAGAGATGAAGGAATGCAGCGTTCTCTTAAAGGGAGAGGGGATTGTAGTTCTGTCTAAGTAACATCACAAGCGATTACCTTTTTTTTAACATCTTCTGTGAAAAGTGAGTGGATCGGTTCCTCAAAGCGAGTCGTGCCAACGCAATTGTCAGATAAGAAGATCAGCCTCTTCCAGGAACCGAACCACGTCACCACACCACACAAACGCTTGTTACCGGCTCATTTGGAATTCTCAAGGTGCTCCGGCTCACCGGATGACTTGCACACGAATCATGTTTGCACAAACAGAGCAGTGGGGTGGGGTGGGGGGGGGGTTCGGCTGTTGAATAAGGTTGTGTCTTGGTGCATCCGAACCCATTAGCTGAATCACAAAGCAGAGGGTGTTGGGTCCTCAGTGTATCTGACACACTGCATTAGGAAGTCAAGAAAACATCAGAATAATGTTTTCATCTGCATCTGAAAAAGGGAGGTTCGCAGGCGGGTTTTGAAGATCTGCCTTTTAATGAATTTTTGTGGTCGCTGATGTGAAAGTGTAAAGTTTGGCAACTTATCGGGCACGCCTAAGTTCATAACTGTGATTTAAGATGACCCACTTTGAAGGGTGGAGATAGCTGATGCTGTTCGACTCGTCTTTGTTAGTAGAGAGTATAGGTTCATTGGTCTAAGCAAGGACGGCAACACGGAAGCATCAAGTCAGTGTCATCGGTGTACTGTTACCGTACTGTTGGGAATACGTTTCATCTAATTAGACAAAATAATTCAGTAATGTCCAGATTATACACCACAAACTGCCACTGCTTCTTTGCTCAGACAGTCGTCACTTTTCCAACAGACTGTCTTAATTAAGGGGGGGTAATCAGGGGCGTAGATATAGACAGTGCAGGCACTGTGGTTGCACTGGGGCCTGTGGGATGGGGGGACTTTGAGAGAACAGGCACATGCAAAGTCAATCAGATTGGGATCGGATAGTAGAACACATATTAAAGTGAAGATGAAACGGGCATTTCAAGGTTATCTGGCTTCTGAATCCCAACGTCTTTCCCAGTAAAACAGGACCGGCAGGCAGGACATAGCGTTGGGAGGAATCTGATTGGTTGATGAACAATCGTACTGAGAGACTGTATATAAGAAGTGGACGTGGTCACCGTGATGTCGCCCATTGGTTTGTGGACTGATGTTTCGAAGCCTTAATTCTGAGTTTTGGCCGTCGCCATCTTGGATTATAGCCGTCGCCATCTTGGCTTTTTTGCAACCAGTGAACAGAACTTACCATATTTGGACCGCAGAGGAGTGACGTAGAGACGCAGTATACGGTTCTGGTAGCTAGCGCCCTGACAATCACAGTAAGCCTGCCCTAAAGCATACTCTGCTTTATGGTCTATCTGACTCTAAATGGACCATAATTTACTAAATGAACATCATGCTGTATTGAAGAAGACTTGAAACTAGAGATTGAGACCATAAACTCATGTTTACAATGTTTACTGAGGTAATAAATCAAGTGAGAAGTAGTCATTTTCTCATAGACTTCTATACAATCTGACTTCTTTTTGCATCCTCCCCATAATGTAAAACAGTAGTAATCCATAACAAAATTGAATGAAGGATATCAATTAAAGGAATCATTTCTTAGTTTCTTTGGAAACTTTGTCATATATAGATATGCAATGCAATAATGATGTATGCGTAGTATATAGTAAAACAAATGAAGGTTTTATTAGAAAAAAACTGGTCAAAATAGTTGCAGCTGAGGCCGAGCTATCCGGACTTTTACTTCAGTATAATGTGTCAAGATGGAAAAGCGCAAATCCTCTATTTCCCTCAATGCAACCAAATGCATCTTTTCGTTTGCCCCTGTCCCTGCCCGGTAAATGCCCACCATCTTTCAAAATTCCACAACCCTGTTACACAATGCAGGCTTTCTGTTAAATAATATCTGTAGCTGAGATGATGTCATCAGGGTCAGACTTCCTCCAGAGCCACAGAGGACATCACACAACAGTTTTTCACAGTATCTCCAATGACCACTACACTTTATGTGTAGTGTCCCTCTGATGTTGACATTGAAATTGTTACTTGCTGTGATCTGGAGTTACTTGCACACCAAACAGTATGACATCAGAGGTTGTAATAATCTGTCTGGTTGGCAACAAAACATTCTTTCCAAAGTAGCATTTTGGAATGAAACCACTGATTGAAAATTAAATGCCCTTCAACTCACCACCCCACCCACATCCTTTAAAGTCTCTATAACACATATGGTCCAATTAAAAACTCTCTTACATCATTGTCTTCCAGTGATGGAAAAAACCCATAAAAACGGTGGTCATTCTTCTAACTATCTTATAATAGACCTTCTATGGTTTGGGCTTTTGTTTCTTCATATTCTACATTTTTATTTTTCTTGTCTCTCAACTCTCTGCAAAGAGATGCATGTAATAAATAAATTACAGGGTTCAAGAGGATGAGACATGAGACAAGTCTCATGTGGATTTCTTTTATTTGACATCTGTTGATTTAAGTGTTGTTTGTCTGCTGGTGTTGTGGCTGTGGAATAACAATTACAAGAGATTGAAATTAAGCCTCATGGGTGTGGACTTGTTTTGAACAGTTTTTTTCCCCTTTTGCTTCCCTTTGAATTTAGATTAGATTTTTATTTTTATTTTTATTTTTTTACCAGTAAATTTTAAACTTCGTCATGACATTCGCCCGTCTGAGGCTCCTCTTCAGCTCTTCGCCTGATCTCAACTGGATTTCCTTCGACTTTAGTCACAGACTTCACTTCACACCCTTCGGCCACACCTGCAAAGTCCAAAGTTTGTCTTTCGACAGGTAAGAGGGCAGCCAGCCTGTCCTTATTTAGAGAACGCGTCCGGCGCGTCACCGCTGCTGACTCCCGGCGCGCTGCGCAGCCACGACTTTGACAACAAGTGCGTGCGGCTCCATTCAATCGCCTCACACCCATGGAATAAAGGACGACGATGGAGTTCTGCTGGGGGCGAGTCTTCTTCACTGTGATAGTCATTAGTAAGTACTGAGTTTGTTTTTTTACACTTTCAACCTGTTATTTCCACCATTCCCTCACCCGAAGAAGAAAAAAGATGCAAATATTTTCGCCACAAAAAGCTAATCTTTTTTATGTCGTTTTCATAAGATCGGTTTTATTAGTGGATTTAATGTGATTATTAAATTGTTTTATACACTTTAAAGACATCTGAAGAGCAACACAGGAGCATAGACTCAGTCTTCTCCTGAAAAAAAACTGCCTGGATGTGCTTTTGTTTTGAAATGTATTTCCCATCGACCAAGCGAAGTTTCTTCCTCTGTTTACAAACGCATAATCCAAAATTAACCCACATGGATTAAAATCCGGATCGGTTCATGTCTCACTGTGCCTCACATGGCGTGTATATTAGAGAAAAATAAGTCATGTGATGCGTTGCTCGATGTCTGCTCTGTAAGCAGCAGCTGGACGTTTGAAATGATTCTCCTGTTATGCACATTTATTTCTGAAGATGAAAGAACATGTTGTTTTCAGGGTTATTGTTGCCGAGCCCCAGAAGGAGGCAAAGTGTTACTTTGCGCTGCAGGTAAACAGGCGTGGCTTGATCCTGGGTGTGCAAGTGAAGGTCTCTCTCGAGTCCAGAACCCATCCACATTCCTCTGCCTGCCGACTGAGGTGGGGTAGTGGGAGGGAGGGCTGATAGCTGTGCTCTGCCTGTACGGGCATGTGGGTCTGATTCTGCAGAAAGACTCACTCAATCACATATCCTGGCGGGCGGGGGGGGGGGGAGTTCCAGGATGAGCAGTGTCTATGGAGGCAATCTGCAACACTCCATGAGTACGATCTTCCTGTGTTGTAGAGCTATTTCAGTGGGCTGCCATGCCATTCGTGAGTCAAGCTGATGTGTTTTTTTTTTTTTAAGTACATGATTCAGCCACTAAAACCACCCACACCACTCAAAAAGAGGAAGTCAGTATGTCTGATGTTGCTGAAAGGTAAAACGTGAAACCTGTCCCCGATAAACAACCAGAGTCCTCATAACAGTTTTGTTTTGACTTTTAGAAACACAAATATGCCGACAAACATGCAAAATAGTGATATATATATATCAATATTACATTTATCAGTATTTTTTGTGGGCCTATTTGTGTTTATGTATATGTGTGTATATATATGTATATATACTGTATGTATGTATGTATATATGTATATATATATATATATATAATATATATATATATTATATATATATATATATATATATTATATATATTATGTTGATCAGTGTCACTGTCATGCGACCCCATCTTTCTCCTCCACCAGCTGACAGAATCCGGCCCTCGCAGTCCTTCAACGTCGGCACCGCAGGCGCCAAGATTTTCAGCGGGCCGGCTGCGGAGGAGTTTGGCTACGCGGTCCAACAAGCGACAAACCACGAAGGCAAATGGTATCAATTCAAGCGTTTTATTCTCTTCAGACTGCCTCACTTTTTTTTATTTCCATCACAGACATGCGTCTTGTCCATGGTGCTGTGTATAGCTTTCAAGTAGTGGTCCAGTAAATCATTCATTTTGTTAATATTTCTTTGAAAGAGCAATAAAGGTGGAGAAGATAATAACATCCACAGGCTATGTGAATATTACGCAGAGAGAAGTTTTATTCTTGAGCAAACAAGGTGCAGATACACGTTCAGTGGGCCAACCCGTCAATACAAGCCTCTGCACCAGGACGGGCTGAATTCCAAAACAAGGTGGAGACATGCTTCACAGGGATCAGTCTTGGTCTATACTGACTGAGTTTCAAACTGCTGACTGCATGACAAAACAAAAACCCATGTACCTAATCCCAAAGATACTCTACAGGGTTGAAATCTCAAGGCTGTGCAAGTTGTTGGTGTACAACAACCGTCACGCCAGGGAGGATTTCTTCCTGGTAGAAGTATCCATTTTAGCAAATGAAAGGCCTGTCGCCGTACAGAGATGCACCTGGTTATCAGCAGCGTCTAGGTATTCTGTAAACTAAAGCCACTAAAGCCAGTACTGGTGACGACACTGAAGCCGAGGATTGCTTCTCTTAATCGTCACCTGTTCACGGGTTTGTTGCAACGGACACCTTGGTTTAAAAAAGACAAACAGCTCAGTTCATGTGAGGCCAGCTCGGCTGTCAATACTTTGCATTTTAACTATATCGTACCGATGTTCACCCCTGACTTTCCCTCCAGCACCACCATGAGGTTTTACATTTGTGTTTTTTTTTACTGGAATGAGACATTTTAGCATACTGACATCAGCATTTACAGTTCGTCAGAGCACCAAATGTGGCCATGCACAGCCTCACAGATATGCTGACTCGGCTGTTAGCTTTTTTCCCAGGAAATTGATTTTTACTTATTTATTATACCTTTACTGTGCGATTACTTGTTTATTATACTTGTTTTGATGTTGTTTTTCTTTTACTTATTTACTACTTGTTAGTACTATCCACTCTCACTATCCACTCTGCTGCTGTAATGCTGCAAAAATGTTCCCGCTGTGGCATTAATAACAAGATTATCTTATATATAGCACAGTCACTACTAGATTTTAGAGGCTGATACAAATATTTGGGAGTTAAAAAAAAATTATTTTTTGAATTATTGGACGAGCTCTACTGATAAGTTGTTATACTGCTGAATCATATAACAAAGATTCCAAGTCATGCAACAATGTAGCAACACCCCGTTTGGAGCCACGTATATTTCGTCATTTTAGTTAAACAGTAACCGAGCCTCTCAGTGATGTCTGGATGTTGTGCACTCTGAGTCACGGTCTCGCAGAGTAGCTCACTGTCTGGAGAAGAACGATGTGTCCCGTTATTCGTGCCTTATTTGACACTGTGGGGGATGTGACACTGAAGTGGTGTATTAGGTCATCTTAGCATTATTGGGAATACATTGTTGCCTTACTGGTGAAGTGTGTGTGTGTGTGCGTGGGGGTGGGGGTGGGGGGGTTAAGAAAGTATTTGAAGTTGATACTTTCTGTGGGAACTTGTAGAAACTTGTTTGCTGTTTGTTAAAACATTAAAAGAATGACATGGCGGACTTGTCGGCACACGCTTACTGTTACAGTGTTACAGAGTGATGTTTATGCTCATTTCGTATCGCTTTGGTCTTACAATTGGCCCACTGCGGGGAAGTTTGAAAGCAGTAAGATTACCTAGCTTTTATTGTGAATACCACGAGTCAGCATCTATAGATTAGACGTTGTGTGACCGTTGTCAGCGTCAAATGATTTGGATGAGTCTCGTGGACTGATGTGTGTGCAGCCGGTCATGCACTGCGCACAGGAACCTTCAGAGATGAATACCGTTGTTGTTTTTTTGCAGGCTCCTGGTCAGCGCCCCGTGGAGTGGTTTCAACCCAAACAGGAAGGGGGATGTTTACAAGTGTCAAGTCTCGGGCTCCAGAAACAGCTGTGACAAGCTCAATCTTCAAGGTACGGTCTGGGGTTTTGTTGTTTAACCTCTGACCTCTCCCACCAAACATTGGCCGTGCACTTAAAATGCCTAAACAGAGCAGTGCCTTCAAACAAATTCAGGAGGTCTCCAGATATTTGGCTTTCTCTCTGATTTGCAGCAACGCCTGTATTTTGTTCACACTTTCAGCTAATAATTAAATAAATTCCAGATTTAACAATCTGAACTTTAATATGTGAGCTAATTTGTTGTCCTTGCCACTTCATCCACAGATTCTGTGAGTATGCCTGATGTTAAAAACGTCAACGACCAGATGTGCCTGGGTTTGACTCTTACCCGGATGCCTGATGTCAATGGTTTGATGGTACGTGTGTTCACACCCAGGACTGAAGGGAAATCATGCTGTTTCAGAGATTGGCAGTTTTTTTCTCTTCTTTTCAACCTAAAATAGAACATTTTTCTTATGAATCTACTTCTTGTCTTTGTGTATGGCAATTTATTATGATACCGGCTTCGATGGAATATTCAAATTGTTGATGCATGTTTAGCGCAGCGGCGTGACCAAGAACCGGTGAAGTCATGACTTCCTTTTTGAAATTTACATCAAATGTTTGTGTCTCGAAGAAGGAAGTATGTCGGTGGCTGAGGTGAATAGCTGCACCGGCAAGCAGTGTTGTTAAATAAAGACATCAGCCACTGCACGACTGCTATTTAAGACCGTTAAATAACTGTTCTTTAACACCAGAACACTTTGATGTGACTTAAGTCCAACTTGCAATCAACAACCATTCAATTCACTGTTAAACCCAGACGTGAGAGCGTGTTGGGACCTCTGAAAAGTCTCCTCTCGTCTGATACAGATGTGCGGACCTCTTTGGGGACAAAGCTGTGGTGATCAGATCTTCTACCCAGGAATATGTACAAAAATGAGCCCCCTCTTTCAACCGCAACCTGCCTTCTCTCCTGCCATCCAGTGTAAGATCTGACTTTTTATATACAGTATATACGTATATACAGTATATATGTATGTATATGTTGATTATGGACATGTTGAGCTTTGTTTGGTTAGATATTTTTAAGACAGGCTTCAGTTAATATCAGATTATAAATCCATCACAGTGACACACATTCCGTTACCATGTTGTGTCCTCATGTGTTAATGTCGACTTGGGACTATTTTGCTTATGGGAGGCTGTAACATCATATATTTAATGTTGGCTTACAAACAGCAACATTTCTAACACGAGACATGGCCAAGTTTGAATTATTCTTTTCCTTTATTGTCATTTGTCTACTGGGTTTGATTTTTGAAGATATAAAATACGTTGGTCAGCATCGGTTCCATTCATCAGCGCTGCTCAAATGTGTCACTATGTGTCTCTCTAGCATGCGGAGGGCCGATGGACATCGTGATTGTTCTGGACGGCTCCAACAGCATTTTCCCTTGGCCTCCAATGATCAATTTCCTCCAGAAATTGATACCTGGACTCGACATCGGGCCCAAAAGCACACAGGTAATATCGCGTTTAATTGACGGGGAAATTCAAGCAGAGATCAAGCAGGGGATGATGTTGTGGTCAGTGTGCTGACAGCTCTCTGTGCTTTATCACGCCAGGTCAGCGTCATTCAGTATGCCGTTGATTTCAAGTTTGAACTCCGACTCAACCAGTATAAAACCAAAGATGAGGTAATGGCTGCGGCATCCAAAATCACACAAATGACCGGTGGTTTGACCAACACCTTCAATGCCATCCGATTTGCCAGGTTGGTGCTGCACTAAAACTGCCTTTCATGCATTTCTGTTTATTTGTTTACCTATGTATTTGATCTGTTTATTGTACTTTCTTATAATTTGTATGCTGGTCCGTCTATCTTGTCCGTTTTACTATTACCTGATCAGGATGAATTGTCATTTTAATGCTGGTACATCATTTTATTCAATTTTTTTAAGTTTTAAATTTCTTATGAACATTTCTTTTTAATGATAAATCCACAAACAGTAACAAAAAAAAGAGTGCCCACTGTGTCTTCTCTCTTCAGTCATTGGGGTTTCCACGAAAGTAACGGCGGTCGACCAGGCGCCGCCAAGGTGATGGTGGTCGTCACCGATGGAGAGTCTCACGACAAGGACTCCAGAGAAGATGTCATTGCCGACTGCGAGAAGCAAGGCATCACCCGCTTCGGTATCGCTGTAAGTAATGGCCTGCCACTTACTGCTAATTATATACAGTATATTTATAGTTCGTTTATATTTATCTCAGTAAATATGAATGATGCCTGCATGCTGACTGCATAGCATTGGATATCACATTAAAGTTTCTAATCAAGGTTAGGCAGTGCTTAACCCATAGTAATTGCTGTCATAAATACTGACATATTTACAAAAATGACTACATGGTATTGTATTTGAAATTATGGAAAAATTACATTGTTAATGTAATAAAAAAACAATATTGTACTGACTACCCTGCTACCACTTAATTCAATAAAATACAGCACTTTGCTGTGTCTTAGTAGACGGTAGTATAACAGTAACATTACATTTACAATAAATAAACTGTAGAAAAACAGCAATGTACTGGCAACTTTGCTGCCAGTAGTCTACGGTAAAATCAAGAAAATACAGCAAATTACTGTAATTCTGCACATTGTATTATTACAGAAATATAATGTAAAGTATATTACAGTGGGACTACTGTAAAGTGAACACTGCTGCCAGTAGTTTACTGTTAACCTACATGATAATAATTCTTATATAGCTTATATTTGCATACATTCCTTTCCCTCTTTGCAATCCTGATTTTGCGGTGTTTCCTCATTATTTTTTCTCCCTAGGTCCTGGGTTATTACTCCAGACAAAACATCAACACAGACAACCTGATAGCAGAAATCAAGTCCATCGCCAGCGTACCCAAAGAGAAGTACTTCTTCAACGTGTCGGAGGAGGCGGCCCTCTCCACCATCGCTGGAACATTGGGGAGCCGCATCTTCAACATAGAAGGTGCATGATCCCCCTCTTGTTGTTGCAGGCGCTGCATGTGTAATCTACTTTACACTGCATGCTCATTCAAACACTCTACTACTCATCCAAGCCAAAGATCCCAAGAGAGATCAAAAGAAAATGTGTTTCTTTTTTCTTCTTCTTCTTACACACATCCTTTGTCTGATTCTGGATCTGCCCCACTGCTTTTGATTCTGGCGTTAACATGATTCTCTGTTCCCACAAGGCACTGGGAAAGGGGGTGACAACTTCGAGATGGAGATGTCCCAGGTCGGATTCAGTGCTCACTACTCCAGCAAACAGGTACAGAGCGCCGCCTTGAACGCCTCTAAAACGTTTGTATTTGTTGTGACGAAGCAAATTTTTTTTTTTGTTTTGTTTTTTTAAACACTCAAACGTGCAAAAGTGCTGCAGAAGAAAACCTAACGGGGGTTTGTCGCTTGTGGCGGTGTGTAACCTGATAAAAGAAGTCCAGTTTGAAGACTAATCAGATGTCAAGTTGTGGCACATTGGTTTTGTGCTCCTTTGGGAGAGAATTTTACAAATGTGTGAAGTTATCACAGCAGCAATGTTCTTCTCCTGAGTCAATATTTGCGAGGAAAATAGTAAAATTCGATTCATGCTGAATTATTTTCTACTGAACCTGCTTTGTGCACTCACATGGATTTGGCCAAAGCAGTGTGCGAAAACTAAAGTTTACTCCATAATCTGCCACACATCACATATAGTGATTCTGACACCACAGGGTCAACAGTGGGGGAAAATGGCATGTTCCACATGTAGACGCGTACACCAGCTACCAGTTTATGCTATCAAAGCTATGAAAATACATGATACATTGATTAAATAGAGTAAAGTAACCCTCATGTACTGCAGCTATCAAAATACCTTATGTGGTGGAGGTTTGTTTGAAGTGACAACAAAGCTGGTCACAGAGTCTGACCGACGACCCCTTTCACAACAGCCCTCCTGCTGCAACAACGCGGAGTTCTCACTGAAAGAAAAGAGGAAGCCGAACATTTTTTTTCCACAGCAGTCTGACCGCGAACTTAAGGAGCTGCCTTCTTTTTATTGGCATTTAGAAAATGTTCTGTTCTCACACTGCGCTCCATTTGTGGTTTTCATCATTTTTCTTTGTTTTTACAGAAAAATAAATCCCTTTGATACATTTCAAAACCTTTGATACGGAAAAAAATAAATGGTGGTTTCAACCCTGACCAAAAATACGAATACTGTGATCCACAGTGTTGTTTGTATGTTATCCGCTGACTGGTCTTTGACCTGTGCTGTTTAAGGATGTGATGATGCTGGGAGCAGTGGGGGCCTACGCCTGGAGCGGGACTGTCGTCCATCAAAAGGGGTCCAAAGCAGACATTCTCCCCTTCTCAGCCTTTGCGGGAACACTTCAAGACAGAAACCACAGCTCATTACTGGGTAGGAATTTACAGCGGTCCTCTGCATTTACGTTTTGATCCTGTTTCTTGAAAATCTTTGCATGAAACAAGGCAGGATTGGGAGTGGAGGGTGGCTGTTCTCAAGTATTTTTCGCTAAGCGAGAAATACAAGCGTAATCACTGCAGCTGCCCTGCTTTGGCACTTATAGTGTTTTTAAACAACAAAACTCTATTTTCTAAATATCTGTGGTGTTTTTGAGCGTGAACGGATTTGTAAAATCGCAAGCTTCTCGCCACTGCATGTGTCACCACCTTTTTTCTGAGAAGCGGAACATCATGACATTTATTTTGCATCATCTGGAATGAGTATTCTATAGAAACATTCAGTGGAAGCTACAGGGTTAGAGCCACCATATATATATATATATATATATATATATATATATATATAGTACTTCTAACATTACTAACACCATACAGTATCTCCCTTTTCTGTACTCGCATATTTGAATATTGGTGCCATGATGGCACCTTGTTTGGATTGTTAGGATAATTATGTTGCATACTCAAACATTTAAACTAACTTATAAATACATGTGTTGTGTGTTTGCATGTATATTACTGCAGTGACACTGTGTTACAATGCTGGTCTAAGTAGAGGAGTGAAAGAAGTATTCAGATTGTGCACGTAAATGTAAATAGTGCAGTTACAGTACGTGTTACAATGTATGTAACAATTAAAAGTCCTGCATTCCAAATATTACTTAAGTTAAAGTAACAGTTGGGTAAAAGTATGTAAAAAATACACTTATTAAAGTATTAAAAGTAATAATTATGCAGAGTGGAGGCTGTCAAGGTTAGTTATTATTATTATCATTATTATTATTATTATTATTATTTATTCATTTATTTGATGCATTTAAGTATAAGCAGCATTTTTAATGCTGTAGCTTGCAGAGGAAGAGCAGATTATAACTACCTTTTATAGTTTAGTGGTGTTATAAATAATAATAATGCATTGTTATTATATAACAATGCATTATTAGAGGTATTATCACTTATGTCGCTTTTTTGTGCTTCTGCTTCGGACAGTGTACAAACCGCTCTTCTTGGTTGACATCTCCTTCTCGCTGTTGTAAACCTCATTGTACGTGTTGAAGCAGGAACACTTCCCCTGTTATTTTTCTTGTCATAGAGTTTAGTAAAATCACTTACTTCTCAGAATAGCTCCACCCAACCCACGCCTGCCTAGAGGTCTAACCAGCCAGAGTAATGTGTGCGTGAGTGAGTTTATGTTTGTGTGGCGCTGGACAAACACTGCTTTTTGTAATACCATTTTCAACACCTGTGTGTAAGTGTGCAGAGCCCTTCATTGGCAAAGTAACTAGTAATTATACCTTTCAAATAGTGGCTTCAAGTAGCATAAACAAATGGAAATACTAAATAGAGTACAGAACTTGAGTAAATGTTTTTAGTTACATTTGCCACTGTTTAAGTCAGAAGTTGTCCAAAGTTCAGATGTTGGCTATTTAAATGTCTTATTTATGGTAATTTCCAGGTTATTCTGTCACCACGCTGAGCGACAGACTTACAGAATACTTTGTGGCTGGCGCACCTCGCTCCAACCACTCCGGACAAGTTATCGTCTACACCATCAACGCCCAGAAGCAGACTACTATCATCGACTCAGAGCGAGGAAAACAGGTACCGATAATAGAGGGATGTGGTATTCACGTTTTGTGAACCAACTGTGTACACGTAGAAACCAACTAGATGTGCACTTGTCCTAGATTGGGTCGTACTTTGGAAGCGTCCTGTGCCCCCTGGACGTGGACAGAGACGGGGTGACGGACCTCCTGCTGGTCGGTGCGCCCATGTTCATGAGCGATCTGAAGAGAGAGGAAGGCAGGGTCTACCTCTTCTCTGTCACCAAGGTAAAATATGGGTGACATGTCACTTGGTGGGTGCAATGTAGGAAATAATATATTCTCAAAGCTGGATTTCATTTGTAGTTTTCTTGAAATTGAAAGGAACTGTAGCACCATATACATCATATTCTCTGTTGTAACGATCTGAAGGGTATACTGAACGAGCAAGGATTCCTCAGTGGTCCGCCCCCGACTGAGAACGCACGCTTTGGGATGGCCATCTCTGCCGTTCCTGACCTGGACCTCGACGGTTACAACGACGTTGTGGTTGGAGCTCCTTTAGAGGACAAAGGGAAAGGTGTCGTCTACATCTACAACGGGGAGAAGAAGGCAATAAACAAACAGTTCTCACAGGTACGGAGAGACATTCGTATCAGACTGACAGAAAGTCTGTTATGGAAGTTTTTTAGTTTTAGTTGAAGCTAAACAAACACACCATTTAGTTTCTCTGTAATAATTAAACTCATCATTGTTGATAATCTGTTCCAGAGAATCTTTGGCTCCAAACTGGATCCTCAGTTGCAGTATTTTGGAAGGTCCCTAGATAGCGACAAAGACCTGAATGATGATACTATCCCTGACATCTCCATTGGCGCATATGGCAAAGTGGTGCAGCTCTGGTAAGTTTGGCAACCTGTAATAAACTGTGAGTGATTAGAACCTGAGTAAATAATGTCATGATTGGCCACATTATATTATAGAATCAGCAAGGCTGTTCACGATCATTTAAAGCTGCAGTTGGTTTTCAGGTCCAGAGGTGTGGCGTCCGTCTCGGCTAAAGCTTCTTTCAACCCCGATAAAATCAACATTTTCAACAAACCCTGTGACATTAATGGACGCAAGCTTACGTGTTTCAACACCAACCTCTGTTTCACTGCTGCCTTCAGGCCTAAGAAACCAGTTGGACCCATTGGTAAATCCTCTTCTCAAGAATAAATAGATTCCTGTTACTTAAAGGTGCTACATTTAGAATTCAGAGCTTTAATATAACAGCAAACAACTATTTGTTATGTAAGGATGTATAAGTAATGGCATCCTGAGCAGAGAATGAAGTCACTCTCCCTCTGTGTGTGTTGTAATCCGAGCTTCTTTGTTTACGTAGCTGGTCTGGCCGTGCGTGCATGTTAGTGCATGTGACTACCAGTGTGCGTGCCCCACTGGCTAACTAATCGGCACCACTTTGCGCTGCGCTCATACAGCAGTTAGCACCAATAGTGGCGTCCTGATCCCATCGCCCTGAATTTGGAATTTAGCGCCTTTAAATTATAGTTTTGGGAAATACACTTTGCCTTGTTTACATTCTTGTTGAGAGTCAATGTGAAGATCAAAACCACTCTCATTAAGCTAAGCTAACGGGCTGCCGGCTATAGCCTTATATCTAGTGTACAGACATGAGGGTGCTATCAATCTTCCCGTCTAACTCTCAGGCAAGAAAGTGAATACAAGAATTTCCCAAAATGTCGAACTCCTAAGATGTTCATGGATCATTTTCAAGACAAAAATATCGCACTCTTCTTCTTTCAGATATATCCTACACTTTGACCCTGGACGCTGACCTGCAGGCTTCACGAGTGACGTCAAGAGGACTGTTCACTAAAAACAATGAGCGCTTACTCACAGAAAAAGCTAAAATATCTTCTGCGCCCCTGTGTCTGGACTACCAGGTTTATGTTCAGGTAATGGATGAAAATCCTCTGTTTTGCAGTCACCGAAGAGCATAATTGACACATTTTATAGGGTTAGGCTTGCAGAGATATTACTTCATATTTCTTTTCTTTTTTTTTCCAAATCAAGTATTCTGAAAATAATCTGCTGATTTGTCCCTGTGTGGTTTCTTCAACAGGAGGCGCCAGACTTTGTCAATTCCCTCAGTCTGAAAATAGAGATCGAGCAGCAGAATGCAGATGTGAACCCGGTCCTCGATATGTCGTCTCCAAGTGCCTTTGAGTTCTTTGTAAGTGACTTGTACAGTACACGATTTCTCTGAGTCTCTGTTCAATCGTTTTTTGTTTAGCCTTTGGGTCTTCAGAAAGGTCTACAGGAAAACAGATCAGGTGACGAAGACTTTAAACATAGTTGTTATGTTGCAGAGTCGTCTGCCCGGTTATTTAAGATGACATGCTGTGTGATTACTGTCTTTTTAAAACTTTTAAAGTGATTGACTAAAGTCAGGCAAGCTCTCATATTAACACACTTTGTGTTTCAACAACAGGATTAAAGTTCATCCCATGCAGTAGATATATAATAGATTCCCTTATTGTTATGTGAGTTTGCTGCTCTGTTGTCATTTCAGGTCCCATTCACAAAAGACTGCGGCTCTGATGACGTGTGTGTCAGTGATCTGGTGCTGAGTGTGAAGACAGACACAAAAGCTTCCAGGTGAGAATCACTGACCTCGTTTGTGCAAGAAGTAACATGTCATACTTGCTGACCATTATATGTACAATATACAGTTTAGATGTAAACACAAGATAATACTCTGTTCCGTGGTTTCACTTGATGTATGATGGTTTCCTCAGGATAAAGGATTTCGTTGTTGTTCATTTAGCGTTGAAGTGGAGAGTAGAAATAATGCTGTGTGTGATGGAACTTGCCCGGAACTTGAGGCGAGGCGATTATCTTCAAGCTAGGGGTTGGTGATTTTGAGACGCTAGCAAGAGTACGCAACATTTTGAAACACTATCCAACAGAAAAACCCAGCCCAGGGTTGCCAATACTTTTCCAATTACAGAAGCTAGCAGCGCTAGCTCCGAAAGTTGCTAAATCTAGCAGGGAAAGTCACCAAGTCGGCTACACTGACAGCCCGTCCCTTCAGGCCTTCCTTTCAAAGCCACTCCTCCAAAAGTATCACTATGGGCTTGAATGTGGATTTGTGAAACCATTTTTTTTTTTTACATTAGAGTCAGCTGCTATATTGATTCTCAACAACACATATTTATTCTGATATTGTACATTGTGGTGCACATTCAAAGTTCACATTTGTAAACAGGACTATGTGGAATGCCCGTCTAGCAACTCCTGGAGGATGTACTGAGCTCACATTCTGTGCAGCTGATATTACAGCACCGTCTTCAAAGCCCTGTTTTTTTTATAATTTACCGAGTAGTGCACACATTTATACAGCAGATTGTGTGAAGACTTCATTTGGAAAAAAATATACCTGTTATTCCCTGGTAACTCTTAACAACCATTACGTCAATTTCTATTTTCTCTGTTTCACGAGTCTGTCTTAATTGCCAATAGAGCTGCACAAATTAGAGTTTCCCAGGGTACAAAGCAACGTCATAGCCCATCAAATGGTCGAGTCAGACTCGTGTGCTTGGAAAAAAAACGCATAAAGTTTGGGAGATATGTGCAGGAAGAAGGACTTTAGAGAGACCTTGGAGACACTTTCACACACATTTGATCGCATGCGGTTTTGCAGCTGCTGTGGATTTTTCATGTTTGTACATTTGGTTGTGTGCTGCGTTTTGTGCTTCACGATGGAAGCGACGGCCCCGTGATTCATTCCTACATAAAATGCTGTATTGTGCAATTTAGGGTTCATCCAGTTGACTTCATCTTTAAAACAATACGAATAAGTCACCCACAACTCACGGTGAGATTCCTTCTTATTGCTAAACTGCGGAGTACAGTAATCTGAGCTCTTGTGTTATAGCTCAGCTCCCGTCCTGGTCAGCGCCAATAACCGGGAGCTGTCGTTTGAAGTCGTCGTGAAGAACAAAAAGGAGAACGCGTACAACACTCAGGTCTTGGCGACCTACTCCAGCAACCTCTTCTACTCCTCCATCTTTCCTCCTGTGAGTGAAAAAGGGCACATTTACACTAAATAAATGTAGGATCATCAAATCCTTGAACACCCTTTTCCCCATTAATTGAACCCATTTTTGAACATTTACAGAAATAGTTGACTAGAACAAAAAGAGTGTTAAGTATATGTTTTGCACTTTTCTGTCTGTGCTGCTGAAGTTATTTGAATGACATTAAAAGCCTCATTGTCATGTATTGTTAGTGTAATACAACAACATAGAAGTTATTTACTATTCAGATTTATGAATTCACAGACGGACGGAGTCAAATGCACCTCAACACAAACACAAACCGTCACCTGCCAAGTGGGATACCCAGCATTAAAGACAGACCAGGAAGTAAGTAAAGTCAAATATTTCTTTAATATTATGAACTATTTTGAACAGATTTTTGGGCTGTGCAAATGTATTTAATTGTTATTCAATTACAGGTGACATTTCAGATGAATTTCGATTACAATCTTGACCAGCTGCAAAACCAAGCCGAGGTGAAATTTGAGGCCAAGAGGTACACTGGAATAGTTAGAAATTCAATAAAAGATTGTGAATCTTAATCAAAATTGTTGACCCTGTGATAATGTTCTGTACCTTTTATTTAAAAAAATAAAAATAAAAATCTTTACAGCGATGGTAAAGAGGAAAGACCTGCAGACAACACGGTGGACATATCCATTCCTGTGCGCTATGATGCAGGGATTGTTTTGTCCAGGTGATTCCGCTTTTTGCCGCTTAATGGTTTTTTTTCTAATTTTAATCGCACCCTGAAATTGACAGTTGACGATGGAAACTAAAACAAAAAGTTGTGCTCTCTTTGTCCCAGGCAGTCAAATATCAATTTCTATGTGGCAGATGCCGCTGTTCCCGTGGTAACAACGGTGAAGAGTCTCGATGACATCGGCCCAGAGTTTAACTTCACAGTGAAGGTGCGATTACTGAATCTGTGTCTTAAATTGTCCTAATCTAATTCATCATTGTATTTGTTATATTAATATATGAATTAAAACAAATTGTGTTTCAAGGTTTCAACAAGTAACTTCCCTGTCAGCCTCCTGTATCTGACCATTGCTCTGCCAGTGACCACTAAAGGAGGAAATCAGCTCCTCTATGTCACCAGTGTGGACACGCAGAGAGTGAGTACTCAGTTACCAAATACCAGCAGCTTCTTAAAGAGTTTAAACACATAATAAATACATTAATAAATGCCATGGTTGACACCCAATATGCAATGTGGTATCTCAAAACTTTAAAGCCAAGTTTAGTAAAAACGTCTTTGACTTTTTCCTGTGGGATTTGGACTGTGTCATTTATTGATGGAATAAATTCTCTGCCTGCAGGGAGGTGCTGTCAGCTGTGACTCCGGCAGCCTGGTGGATCCTCTGAAGATCGGAGTGAAGAGCCACAAAGTGTCCTTCTCCGAGGAGAGTCTCAGAGGGACGGAGAAACTGGTCAGTCACTTACTCCTCGGCATGTTCTCATCTTTGTACACATATGTCAACTCTTCTTCTCACCTTGTGTTTTACTGAGAGAAGCTAGCGAGGCACACTTCCAAATCCGTGCACGTGAGGAACCTAAAGTATGTTTCTCAATGATTTAATAAAAAACATATTGAAATATTTTGCACACAAGCGATGTTATAATATTCTTCTATATATGTGATTGGAAGCATAATTCCTGTCGCTTTATATTTTCTATGAAAGTAAATGAATTATTAAGTTACAAACTGCATAAACAGATATTATTGATCTTCATGTTGTATGTTTTGAATAGTTTTTAAATAATACTTTACTTTATTTTAATTCATATTGTTTTTATTCCTCTAAATCAGCTCAACTCGTATAGTTTAAACTAATATCTGTAGTTGAATATACATTGTTGTCTTGTTTATTTTTAAATAACCCAGATGCAGAATAAAAGTATTTTTTTTTTAATTTTGCCTTGCATTGTTTACTGATTTCCTTTTGTTAATGTTGTTGTTTTTTTGTTTTTTAACTGACAGGACTGCAAGAGTGCAAAGTGCGAGTACATCAAATGCATCCTCAAGGACACGGAAATTAAAAGCGACTACTTTGTGAAAGTCAAAACAAGGATCTGGAGTGGCACCTTTATTTCGGTAAATGATAACACTGATAACACATTTGTTTTTACTACTGGTTGTTTTGTCTGCTTTTACCTCCGTTACTCAGATGACTGATTAAACAAATTCACGCTTGTAGTTTTAAATGGCGCTCTCACTTGTAAAAACTTGTCACGCCAGGCCACCTATCAGACCGTCGAGCTGACCTCCGAGGTCGACGTCGAGACCTCGAACCCCGATCTGCTCGTCATCGGCCTCAAACGGCTACCGGTAAGATGTTTGAGATTTCTGTTGCTCTGGGTTTTTCAGTGGCCGTAGTCTCATGTCGTATTAGATGTGAGACAGACCGTGTCTCCTGTCCTCCTGCTGTCCAGGTGGTGGTGGTGATCAGTAAACCTGGAGAGAAAGGCGACGTTCCAGTGGGAGTGATAGTCGGCAGCGTCATCGGCGGACTGCTGCTGTTGGCTCTGGCCGTTGGGCTGCTGTGGAAGGTGACCCTCAATAATAACCACACAAAGAGGAACATCAGTAGATTATTTGTTATATAAGCTATATAACAAATGAATGGCATGAATATTTCATCTCTGCTATGGTGGGAAAAGAGAATATACCTGATCTGTGCTTTTATAGAAATGCGCAGCTTTATGTCTATAGACTCAAAAGAAAACTGGACTTGTTCACAACTAATCTTTCTGTTGTTGTTGTATGAACTAGAACTGTGTCTAAATTGAAATCCTTTTACTTTCTAGTTTGGGTTTTTCAAAAGAAAGTACCAGCAGCTTCAGATGGAGGCCGATGAAGATGAGCAGAGCCACCCGCATGTAGACGAGGTGCTGTGAGCTGAGGAGACCCCCTCCCCCCCCGCAGCCTTCTCTCCTCACTGGATCGTATCCATCGCGGAACACTGTCAACACTGTCACAGGATGTCGTAAAGTGCAATCGGACTGCAGGTCAAACACTGGAAGTCGGGCATTTTTTTTAATGAAATGGAGGCTGTTCAGTTTGTGAATAACTGGGATTTGATCCTCTGTCTATTTTTTTTTTTTTTTTTTTTTTTTTTTTTTACAGAGGATTGATATAATTAGTGCTTTTTTTTTAGCTTTGTGGACTGTACATTGACTAGTTGCTGTTATGCACTGATTTTGTAAGAATTGTATTTTTCCAATCGTGAAAGAACAATTATTTTTTAGATGAAGTTGATTTGGAGTTTTACACTGTAAAGGCATCTCATTTATCCACAGCCTTTTGCTGTGACAACTTCAGGGCAACATGGTGGAGAAATAACAATTTTTAATAAGGAAAATGAAAACATTTGATCAGAATTTGAATCACACATGCTGTCAAATCCGCAGCACAACCTGCTTTGAGATGCCCTGTGTCCTCTGGCATTCAGGGCTTTTCTTGCCGAAACAATAGCTATCGTGTGAGGAGTGAAATCTGTCGCTGTGTTTGTATTGTACATACTGTAAGATAAAATGATAATCATTTATATTGGGTTTTACATTATGGAAAGATTAGAGGCAATATGGGTCAATGGAGTAGTTACTTGTTGTTGTTGTTGTTGTTGTTGTTGTTGTTGTTGTTGTTGTTGTTATAGAGTTATAAGAATGTTATAAGAATATTGTGTTTTCATTATCTGTGAAATATTTTCTCCATTAATGGTCTCTTTAATTAATGAATTAATTATTTTTTACTTTCCTGGTTCCAAGGTGGTGTTTTCAAATTGGTTGTTTTGTGTAACTTACATTCCAGAAACACACATTGCTGTCATGTAAGACCAAAAAAATCTGTTTGAAACAGCAAATTGAAACAGTTGGTTTTTTGTTTGTTTTTTGTAACTGAAAGCGATTATCAAAATATTCTTAGATACAATTTTTCCTGTTAATAAGCTGATTGATAACTTGACTAGTTGATCCAGCTTTAATATTGTTTATGTGGAGGGCAAAGAGACACAAACGCCCCTCTGTTCCTGAGTCCTGTGTCTGAGATGATGCCTGTTCCCATTCACTCTTGAATTAAACCCATTCTGTGCCATTGTTTTTTTTATAATTTACAGTAGGAAGTCTGTGAGAGAGCTTTAATCTGACGTAAACCAATCCTGCAGGATCTACATATGTATTGGCGGAGCTTCGCCACAAGGTGGCAGCATGATACAGATGACAAGTTGGTTCTCACTGCTCTGGTGATGACGCGAACACTCCATACCTTCCCTTCTCACTGGAACATCTTTTAGAGAACCTCACCCCTGCGAGAACAACCCCTCCTCGGACCACTTCCACTATAAAAAGCATACAAGCACAATTCAAGTTCCCCCTCAAAGTTGATTAACTTCCTCTCGCGTTATTTGGACAGTCGCGTTCGTCCGTCCCCCGGACAGTGTCGGAATGTGAATGATTGTTGTTTTTTTTCGTTTTTTTTGACAGCCCAGCAGCACCAGCAGTGTCTTGCAGCATTCACTTCTCCGGAATCTGGCGAGATGGAAATATGCTATTTGTCTCTAATAAGGAGCATATTTGTTTTTGTTCCGGGAAAGCCTGGGCTCGATTCCATTCCATAGTTGATGAAATGTGATATAGGTGCAGAAGTGTGTGAAACACCTTTCATCCCTGCAGGGGTTTTCCCTGCAGATGATTGGCAGATACAGCCAAACTAACTTGACCCGTGGCACAATTGGTTGATTGCTCACAAATTGCTGCAATGTTACAATTACAAAAACTCTGATGTCATAGCAAATTATTTGATAACTGTGATATCCCCTATAGCATCAACCAATATGTGCTGTATTATAACCTGCGACAACAGTTCCAATCAGCGGCAAACGTTCGCCGCGTGGGTCCTTCAATTCAGCTGCGGAGCCGGGGACATGGGACTGTCCCCTCTGCTGATGCCATTAATGGCTCCAGAAAGGAGCGCAGCCAGCCCTTTAAACTTGATACAGCGGAGGCAGAAATGGACTCGCATGTCAGGGAGTGTTTTTTGGAAGCTCTGACTCTACAAAGACTCTGATGCCATAAATCACACACACACACACACACACACACACACACACACACACACACACACACACACACACACACACACACA